GTCATTTATGACAACATGCTCTCTGCTTCTTTCGGGCCGTTTTAGTTGTATTAAAAGGTAAAACAGCATGAATTTATTCTGGAATTTAAAAAAATCCAGCTTCCCTTCAAATAGCATTCATTCTGCTGGATATCACTGTAGTTTCTACCTCATCCGGTACTCTTCATACCCCCCCATTGGACTCGAATCCGGATCATGCCACTTTGCCAGCGGATTACGGGGCAGATGGGATTTAAAATCCAAGGGAACTTGGACCTATATTAATATGAGGCAGGTCTCGAAAGTGTCTGTAAATCTTGAATAAGAGTTTCAGTCAGCCTTAGTCGCATCAGATGATGAAGGGTTGATAATTTAATTTCCCCCCCAATCATTGAGTAGACCTCACGTTTGCATCCAGTTTCCATTGGCCTTACTTGCCTAAAGATATTCTTATTCCTACTGAATAAGACTGGGTTTCATCAGCATCTGGCAGCTTCAAGTTAACTTTTCGATAAGATCATATTTTTTTCTACCATTACAATCGACGAAATAATTATGTACCAAATGAGTAGCCTCGAAAGTGTCATTAGATCTTGAATACTTTTGAAATGAACCTGTCCCTTCTTGCTTTACTTAAAGTCATTTAAAGCGACTTGGCATTTACTCAGCCAGCTTGTTCACAGTAAAGTAGCTACGTCGTGTGTGCGGCTGCCTACAGAAAGGGTGGGTTTTGCAAAAATCCTTTTCATTTGGCTTCAAGAGGTTACTGCAGTAAATGCATAAATTGGCCTCTTCGGCGCCCTTGAGTGAGTTCAAGGCTGCGGTTGCGTCGGGATGAGAAGACCATTCGAGAGACAAGACATTCTGGAATTGCCGACTGGATGGTGGGGAATCCTGGCCTCCCCACTAACCTCAGCTCGACTCACTCGTCTCCTCCTTCTCGGCTCTGATCATAGTCCCGGCAGCTTCTTTCCGAATGCATACAGGCCGGCAATCAGACTGGCCGCCCGACGTGAGGATGGGCAAGGCCGGACACTCGTTGACTCGTAAAGACGACAAGGTGATTAAGGCATTTTGGCATGTGGACGTGGGCTGAGGATGTGTGCTGGCAGGGGGCATAGGCCAGAAGACAGACGAACAAGAGACAGACTGCAGATAGACAGACAGCACACAGACAACACAGACAGACTACAGACAGATAGTAGAAATAGAAACAGCACATGGACAGATAAAAGACAGACAGCAGATAGACAACAGAAAACACAGATACAGACAGCACACAGAAAACACACTAACAACACACAGACATCAGATAGACGCATAAGAGACAGTCAACTGACAGGCAGCAGATAGACGACAGATAGACAGACAGCATACAGACAACACATCAACAACAGACGGACAAGATGCAGACAGCATAAGAACGGACAACACACCTACAGCAGACACAGACGTGGCACAACAGAAGAGACGGGTTGAGGTGTGTATGGGTCAGAACGACGGAGAGGCGACGTAGGATGGCCGGACAAGGATACATGTGGGGGTGTAGGGAAAGTAAATTACCTAATCGGTTAGACCTGACTGGTTTTTGATGAGATATTGCGGGTGTTGAGGCTTGGTGGCGCTTGTGCGTGTATGTGTGTGTGTGTGTATGTGTGTGTGTGT